TTATTCAAGAGTAAGTCACTGCCTGACTACTGCCTTTCCCAGTGTAGGAGTTGCTTGACCTCCATTCATCTCTCTCCTACAGGAAATGAAACCGGTGTATTCCAGCAGCAAATCAGCAGCTGATGTTTCACGGCATCCAAATTTCTTTCCACATTGACAGTTCAAACACTTTTTAGAGAATTGCTTCCTGCTCTTATGGTCATTTTTACTTGGTTTGAAATTAAAAATCTTGCCAAACATTTCCTAGGTCAATGAACAATAAAAATTTGCATCTTGAAAAATCAAACATCAATTTGCTTCAAGCCTGTTTCATGCTGCTGGTATCAACCAATTTAACCCCCACTGTGAGATACTGAGGTTAGAGGAATCTCAGGTTAAATCTATGTTTTGCCTCAATGAAGTGAAAGATGCTAATGTTGTGGCACGACTTCTAAAGTCTGTTTAATTTAAGGAAAGAAACCTATTACAAATATGTAAAGATCAACACCGAGAAAGAGTCAGCCAGCACCCACAGTCATTAGCAATGTCACCTCTGCATGCAGTAAAATTTTACATTCTTATGGTCAAGTTTTAATTTCTCTCTATTTACCCTGTTCTCACCTGATGCCATTATCAATATGGTGGACCCAGGCATCGTTCCCCAGCAGTAAAGTCACCTTTGGAGTCCGAAAGCCACCAGCAGATACTCTACCAGCTTTGGCAATGCGTTTTGCTCCAAGTACATTAGCAACCACCAGCCACAGTTCTGGCTCTGCAATACAAGGCACAAAGGGACAATCAGTACATTTTTAATGTTAATTTAGTTCTACATCAAGGATGACTAGAAGTAACAGCTTGTAATATCCATGTTACCTAACTCATTTTGTCTCCTTTCTTTTCAGTCCCTACGTCAAGAATCACTCTGCAGATAAGAATGAACAGGGTACATGGTGACTTTACCTTATTGAATTTTTCCTCGCTCTTACTCTACGAGACCCCTGTCACCCTAATTCTATCGGTTGAATTTAATAACATATTTTAACAGAGCGATGGAAGTCCTTTTAAACAATTAAAGGTTTTTTTTTAAAGCTTTGCTGTTTAAAAAAAGCATCAAAAATATTATCTTCTCCTATCTCAATTCCTTGGATTGTGTACTCTCCAGTAAATAGTCTGCAGCAGCTAATGATTTTTCACTCTGAAATTTATTGCATCCCTGTAAAAAGCACCGAGACACTTATTTTCCACCCTTCACTCATTTTAATGAAAATAAATAGACATTAACATAAAACAGGAAATGTTATATCACTTTCTAAACCCAAACCAGCAAAGTTGAAAAATACAATGTACACTTTGCTCATCATGTGATAACCTCTGGGCAACACATCTAAGGTTGTACTTTGGTACTTGGTCCAACATTCCACACCACCCTTATGGGATGGCATTATTTTTGTATACAGCTGGTTGCACAATGGCTGCACTATTAGAAAACAATTTAATCGTGCATGAAGCCACACACACACACACACACACACACACACCATTTGCCGTTCCAAACTATGTGGGAAATAAAACTCAGTGTTTTATTTTCTAAGAAATGTGCTTATAGATTGGACAGTGGTTTAATGTTGCTCTCAACTATGCAGTTATGTGAAGGTCCCTAATATTAGCAAATTCCTGGGCTGTGGCTACCTCTTAAATGCATTAGTGGATACAGTTGACCTTAGCTGGTGAACAAGTTAAGGAGGAGAGAACATATAGCGAATAGCCAAAATGATAATCCGTAGGAAAAGTACAGTAATATCTCGAGGACTGAGGTTATCAACAGAGTTTATGTTGAAATGTTCTCTACAAATAGTTTGTGCTTTATGCTTTACCCAAGGTTTTCCAGATTTCTGCCTGGAATGCTTTTTCATTCAGAATAATCATGTCTCCATGCCTCTTCCACACGCGAGGCAGGTCCTGACTCAGTTGATCATTCCATGTCACTCCACGATGCTTCACCAACTCAGAGAGCTTCTCCTGCAATTGTTTGTGGCAGGATTTTACTGAAGACTTCTTGGATAATATTGGATTCTGAAAGAAGTATTTGTAAAACATTAAGGCAAAGAAAAAAAATTGCATTTTACAATTGATTTATAAGTGATAAATTTATAATAAAACTGAGGAGAGAGGAAATAGTTACTGAAAGAGGTCAATTATTTATTGCAAATTAACTGACTATTGTTCACAAATTGGGAAGCCAGCTGGACAATTATCACCATAGCAATGGCCATACTTCCGTGCTTTGTTCATGCCGTTTTTCTGTTTACCTGATGTTCCATTAAATAAAGAGCAACTCACCACCATGCCAGAAATGATTTCTCCTCTCTATTCTTTGTCACTTAGCTGGGTACAGCTCCATAGCTTTAGGCAATACTCCAATGTCATTTGCCATGTGAGAGCCAAACAAGGAATACAATCAGCCATCACAATCAGGCTAATGTTCTGTTTGGACATACCTGTATACAATCAATTTCCAGCAAGATGTTGAAACTATTCTTCATCCATCACTATTAAGGATATTTGCTGGACCTCAACTGCTACCCCAACAGAGATTCTTTAAAACAGTACAGATCAAAGTTGACATGATTTGTGGGAGTTAGTGACACGTTATATTTTCCCATTAAACATTGAAGGAATTGAGTACTAACAAGGAAGGCAAACAGAAGCTTCATGTTTTCTCCATGGCAAGTTAAGTCGTGTTTCCCACCACAGTCCATGCTGACTGGAATTCCAAATTTAGAATAAAAACCAAAAGAACTGTGGATGCTGTAAATCAGGAACAAAAGCAAAGTTGCTGGAAAAGCTCAGCAGGTCTGGCAGCATCTGTGAAGGAGAAAACAGAGTTAACGTTTCAGGTCTGGTGACCCTCCGGTTAACACCTGCCCATTTACCTCCTCCCTCCCCATTATCCAAGGGCCCAAACATACCTTCCAGGTATGTTTGGTGAAGCAACACTTCACCTGCACTTCCCAGATTCTAGTCTACTGCATTCGCTGCTCACAATGTGGTCTCCTCTACACTGGGGAAACGAAGCGTAGACTTGGCGACCGCTTTGCAGAACATCTACGTTCTACTCACAAAAAAGACCCTGAACTACCTGTTGCCTGCCACTTCAATGCACCACCCTGCTCCCTGGCCAACATCTCTGTCTCTGGCTTGTTGCAATGTTCCAGTGAAGCCCAATGCAAGCTGGAAGAACAACACCTCATTTTCCGCTTAGGGACCCTACAGCCCTCCGGACTCAATATTGAGTTCAATAATTTTAGGGCCTAAACTCTCCAATGTCCCAGCCCCCCACCCCACACACCAGGCCTTGTTACAGACCCCCTGTTGTTAGTCACTAACAGTCCCCATTAACAACTATTCACCCTCCCAGCCTGATCGTTAGCAACTCCTTTGTCCAACTGTCTTTCTCTCTCTTTGGGCCCTATCCTATCATTTACTCCCTACCCCACCCACCTCCCTATTTCCTGCAAAGAAACTGATGTTTTCCCAGCCACTATCAGCAGTTCTGAGGAAGGGTCACTGGACCCGAAACGTTAACTCTGTTTTCTCCTTCACAGATGCTGTCAGACCTACTGAGCTTTTCCAGCAACTTTGTTTTTGGTCCAAATTTAGAATGTTTGCCATAACTGAAACTCACAAAAATATTACTTTTTTCTTCTTAATAAATCAAAAAATGCTGTTAATTATATGATGCTAAGAGAGACGAGCAGGAACTAAATAATCTATTTTTCATCAATTTGGTTTACAAATGTGATTTTTTGGGCTACAATGCGCATACTATTATATACCATCCATAAAGTTATAATGTTTGAATTATTCTTCAGACCAGCTGCCAGATGATACACCAGTACCTTGGAATTACTTTCCAAGAACTTCTATTTTCCTGTGTCAAATGAAAGCTCAAAGACTTAAACAGTTTAAAAAGACTTGAGCTTAACCTTAACCCTATCGCTGTGCCACAGGGGAAAGAAATCCTACCTTTATTTTTGTGAAAGTACAGGTACTGCCTGGAACCACAGTATTACTCAAGTTGAGAAGGTGGAGCTGACTTAGTTTATTGTAAAGCACAGGCAATGCCACTGCTCCATCAGGTTGCTTCTGGAGGCGATAGGCTGTGTCCAAAATTCCATTTGCCTCCAAATACTCTCTGTTAAGTGGAAATAAATGAAAGGAGGTTAAAATACCTTCTGATGTCAGGATGAAGTAAACTGTAGATTTTATGGCCTAACAGTACTTTGAAATCTTTAATGCTACTTCACATTGTGACACACATATTTATCCTGAATCTCACTTCAGGACACTCTTCCCCATTCTTCCTTCTCAATTCTTCTCATGCTTATTCTTGTCAAGAGATCGGGTACATGCTTTGAAGTAGCAGGATCGAACAATGGAAGCAGGGAGGAGGAAATCAGGAAACAGACAGGTGGATTTTCACAAGTTCTGCAATAACAATATAGGCACAACTCTCTCTTATAAAAAGGGAAGCAATATATATAAAAAATGAAATTTGAGGCACATTCTTTTACAGCAGATACATACTTTTCTCAGATTCCTATTAAAGGAGATGGTCAATTCTGTGTGGATTAACTATCTTGGGACATAGACAAATTAGATGTATTTATCTTTACAACTTTTCTAACTTCAATTAATGTTGTTTCTCTGCAGATTGCTCACTTGGGGTCCATTTGCTCAGCCAAAGACTAGCGATGTGGATGAATTAAGTTGCCATACATCTAGTTGGTGGAGGGAAAATAGTTGAAGAGAAGTAATGGGTTATTGTATTCTTGAAGTGTTTTCTTTGTAACAGTGGAACAGATGTTAGTTGTCGAACTTTAGCTCTATTACTGTTCATTGCAGCAGCCTGGGTAATTCATCCCCCGGTTTGGAAGAGCAATTCATTTAAATACCCTCCACACATGCAAGTTTCACAGCATCAAAAAATAATTGCAGAATCAATCGAAAAAGTGAACAGTAATTTTAAAAAGGATCCATATAACCATTATAAAAACCGAAAGAACTGCGGATGCTGTAAATCAAGAACAAAAACAAATTTGCTGGAAAAGCTCAACAGGTCTGGCAACATCTGTGAAGGAAAAAACAGAGTTAACGTTTCGGGTTCTGAGGAAGGGTTACCGGACCCGAAACATTAACTCTTTTTTCCTTCACAGATGCTGCCAGACCTGCTGAGCTTTTCCAGCAACTTTGTTTTTGTTCCACATGAACATTATTGGATGTAAAATATTAAGTAATACTAGAAAAATTTAATCAATTTGTATCAGCTATGGAAAAAGGTCAACAAAAAAATTAGATTTAAGTATAGTTCCCATTTGACAAGAATCATGTTCAAAACTATAAAACTAATGTCTTACCTGTACTGTTGTGCAAACTGAGCCTGAGTCACAATTGTAAAAGCTTCAGTCTGCATTCTCAGGCTGCTATAACTATCTTAATATCTGGAAGAAAATGCATCAAATATAAACAAAGTTATGTCTAAATCTTCCATTGAGAGACACTCACAGAAAGGTCCTATCACTCATTTACAAATTTACACAGTCATGCAGTACATAAACTATTGTGCAAATACACAATTATGGATGCAGAAATCAACAGTGGTTTTGCAGGACATATCCCTTAATATGGATTTTCAACATCAGGACTTTAGTTCCAACAGTGACTGACAGAATGCAGTTTTCCCCTGCCAGAATAGAAGGAAATTTATAACCATTTAGAGGAGCAGATGAGCAATTCTATGTTTGACTTGGAGAATACAAATAAATATTTTGACACCTGCAGAATAAACACACTGTGCACATTGTGGATTTCCTCATGATCAGATCTACCCATGTTGAGGAAATCTTGGGAATGTGTTTTAAGAGCAAAAGAGTGGCACATATCAATATATTTTTAAAATTACAAAGCACTGCATTTAAAAAATGCAAATGCTCCAAAAGCATAATAAAACTTAACAGTTTTGCAGAAGTTGAAAGTGTGCTTATTTTGTCTATTTTTTTTAAACAAATGTGATCATTCACCAGTTATGTGTATCCAAATTTTTAGTCTTTGCTCTTCTAAGTTTTGTTGGCTTTTTAAATGATAGTGTGGACAGCTGCGTCATGTAGTGCAGTATTGAAATACACAAATCAGAATGAGGAAGAGGTCTTAAGTCAGACTGAGGAGGCAAAAATAAAATCCATTACTATGCTTGCCTTTAATCATTGATAAGACACACAGCCGATAAACAGATCAACTGAAACATAAATTAATTAGACAGCACCATGACTGAGTATCAAAGTTATGAAAGCAAAATTTTTCATAGCCTGGAAATTTGAAATGTTACCTATTCCTTTTTCTACAAATGCTTCTGAACCTGAGTATTTTCAGAATTTCTGTTTTTAGTGTATATTTTAAAAGTAACTAATTGGCTACAAAGTGCTTTGGAACATACTGAGATTAAGAAAGATATAGTATAAATTCAACTCTTCCTCTGGTTATGATTTAAAAATACTTATGTGTGGATGTCAGGTGAGGATGGTGACAAGTGTCATAGAGTAGGTTTTTGCAAAAACTGCCATATAATCCCATCATAACATCTTTAGAACATTAATTAAAACCGTGCTACACAAAGCATTTTTGCTTAAACAGAAGTCTAGGTGAGCAAATATGCTGCATGGGTAGTGAAGGTATTCCACGAGCGAGTAACATTGCAGCCCAAGCAAAAACAAGGGGCTGGATTTCCCACAGAGTGGCAATTTCAAGCAGATTACCTGTCTGTGACCCCCTGCTCTATGTGTCATCCTCATCACTTGCCTTCACACCTAGTTTTGTGTCATCTGTCAACTTGGTGATAGTACATTCACATCCTTCATCCAAATCATTGATATTGGAAATAATTGTGGTCCTGCACTAATCCCTGTGGCACACCACTAGATACAGGTTACTATTCCTGAAAATGCTACTCTTAGTCCAATTCTCTGACTTGTATTAGTTGGCCAATCTTCTAACCATGGTACCTCCAGTACCATTGGCTCATCTTATTAAGTAGCCTAATGTGTGGTAAGTTATCAAATGCCACCTGAAAGTCCAAATATCTTACATTCACCTCTAGGGGGTAGAGTGCCAGGTAGGTAGAACACTAAGTGGAAATGGGGTAAGGTGCCAGAGGTCCAGCTAAGTAAGAGATGGGGTGTTGAGGGAAGGACAGGGTGGGTGGGAGAAATCGGATCAAGCAGGGGACCTGGAGAAGGAGTATCAGATCGGGCTGTGGTTTGGGTGGGGTAATTAGTTTGGGCTTGGTGGTGATGGGGGGGTGCGGTAGCAGGGAGGACTGTGGCCCTGGGTAGGTGGGGTATCAGGTTAGGGTCTGGAGGAGTTATAGTTGAGGGTGTGAAGTATAGGGTCAGTTTCATGGTGAGTCAGGAGTTACACCATGGTCTGACGATCGTTTTTCCAGCATAGATGGGGCTTAACTCATTGGGAAACCTGACCGAACCCCCATCGCAGCAGACACCACTGTACGGGGAATTCAATTTTCCTCTATACCTATTTCACGTAATTTCACCAAAACTACCTGAACTCTCTGTAGTAGAGACTTCCTGAGGATTCTAGGCGTGTGCAGAAATTGCTACGATAGGGATTCCGTACGGTCCACATCAGTAACTCCCGGTCTAGGCCGGAATAACGACTTCCGGACCATCAGCCCTCGCCCAGCCCAGCGTTAGAAAACTTCTACCTGATCTTAACACCACCTCGCTTCAAACTAACGCTCATTTGGGTCTCACTTCCCGCGCTGTTGCTTTTTTCTGGAATTGATTTTTCTTCCCTGAGTAAATCAGCGATTCCGACTTAAGACTCGCTGCCGGCCGGAACCCTGTGCTCAGGCGAGGGCGGACGGGTTTTCGGGGCGGTTTCCGGCCTGTCGCCGGAAGCAGCGCGGAGAGCCGTAGTGATGGCGAACTTAGTCCGGGACCCGGCCATTGATCGCTCCCTGCGCTCGGTATTCGGTAAGGGGCCTCGGGGAGAACTTCTTGGATGCTGTAGTGGGCTCGGGGGTGCGGTGCGCGGTGGCTGGGCCATGAGCTGCTGGAGGAGGGTACAGGAGAGAATGATGCTGCATGTCAGTTGGAGAGCGGGCCTGAGAGCAGCTGCAGTGAAAGTACCTGACCACCGCATTCACTTTAAACTGGTGGGTTGGGGGTTGGTGGGTGGGTGGTGGATGGTGGAAACACGGCCATGAAGCGACTTAGATATAATAATTGTGTCCCGCCAAAGTAGGCAGCCCCAGCATCTGGATGTAGGTGCTGTGGTAGTGAACAAAAAGTTTTTAGGGTTAAAACAAAGAATTGCAAATGTTGAGAACTTGCAGATACTTTCAGAGAGAAGAAAATCATTGAAGTTTTCAGCTTTGATCAATCTAGAGAATTAACGGACATGTCTCAAGGCCTTTTGTTCTACCTTGTTACCAAGCAGAGCCTTATGTACCCCCTTATGTACAATTACTGTACTGGTTATTCGGTACCAATTAGATGAGGAAGTTGCAATCAGTTATCCCCCAACTCAGAAATACAGAGCATTTCCAATACTGCTCTGTAAATGGGTACGGATTAGGGATTGACCTTCTTAAACTCTGTTCTAGCTACTTGAAATACCTTCACACTTAACTCATTATGGAGCTAAGATTCTCTTTAGCATGCAAAATGTATGTTTATTTAGTAGATATTGCAATTAAATCCACTTCATTTACTCCTGTTTTGAAAAGTCTATTCGTTCACGAGGTTTTTTGGAGCTGATCAGTTGTGAAAAACGTCTATATGCTAGGTCTCTCAAATTGTTTTCCCATTACTTGCTTAAGTTACGATCTAAACATAGACTGAATAACTCTTATAACTTCTGTAGAGCAATAAATGCACTAAACTCAAAATTGGTATTTCTGAAATGAAATTAAACATGAATATTGATTCCCAACCTGGTTTGAAATTCTCTCTCTCTTATGCCTGTTCTCATTTGTAGTGGGAAATATTCCATATGAAGCTACAGAAGAACAATTGAAGGATATTTTCTCTGAAGTTGGTCCGGTGTTGAGTTTCAGGTATCTTTTGTGTGATATGAATAGTCAGCTGCAGCTGCAGTTGCATTTTGCATGTGTATACTGTCTAATAGTTTGGAAGGTGTAGCTGTCATGATTCATTCCCTTGATGGTCTTACTTTTTGAGGGTTTTTAACCTCTTCCTTCCCCTAAGTTTAAAAAAAATCTCCTTTTGACCTTTACAAAAAAGGAACATAATTGAATTTATATATCACTTTTCACAATGTCCAGACATTGAAGTTCTTACCAGCCAATGAAATTGCAAAATTCACCAAGTTATAGATCAATTAGTATAGACACAGGAGATTCCCAGATCTCTTCTGTTGTTTCAGCAGGCAGTGAGAACAATCTGGAATTGCACAAACTTTGTGTCTCAAAGTATTTGGATTTTTTTCTCACTTGTAACAAATTTGAGGTCAGCCGACTTGGGTCAGGAATTATTTGTGTGAATATTTTGGGCCACACGCTATTTATGTCATGGGATTGTTTGCTGCCTCAGACAGTATTTTATGAATTAAAAATCTAGTTTATTTGTTATACTGACAATACTGTTGTAGGAAAAACTTTAATTTGTACAGCTCACATCACGTCATGTCCTTAAGATGTCACAAAATGCTTCATAGCTAAGTAATTCCCCCTACAAATGCATTCACATGTTTCATAGGCCGTTTTCATGGTATCTCAACAGTGAACCAGGGAATTATGATATTAAAGCAGTTCAGAGTTAAACATTGGATAACTGACAGTTTTTTATATAATGTTTTTTGGGGATCATTCTCACATTATTTTGCCTGGCACCTTTCTCCTTAATGGAGACCTGTTGAAATCTGGAATCCTGCAGTTCGAACACTTAAAAAGCATACTGTGAAACTGGATTTTTTTATTTAAAGATACAGAAAAATCTAGTTTAATTGAAACAACGATTATTATGTCATTTTATATTAACAATATATTTAAAATAGATTTAAAAGAAAACCTTGCAAGCTGACCTGAATAGAATGGCTAACAGGAATTTTTCAGTCAGACAATGCAACTGAAGAAACGTGGCTGTATTAAACATTTAATTGCACGTCCTGAGTTAATTATGCTTTCATTAAAATATCACTCAAACTGTTGAACATCGTGAATATGAGTATGTGACACATCATCAAGATGTATGATGACGATATTAATGTAATATTTCTTATTATAAGTAACTAACTGAAGACAACAAGCTTACACTGATGTGAGAACTATTTTGAAGGCTTCCAGAAAATAATTGACAGATGTAAAAAGTTTAGTCTGGTTAGGAAATATGAAAAGCACAAAATGTGAAATACTTGAAATAACGATTTGTAATTGCCAGCTTGGCGTGGTGATTGCATTTGCACCTATGAAAAAGTTTTGATCCTTGACTCAATGCCAAATAGAACTCAAGACCTGGGTTGAATGCTTAGAAGAATACTGAGGGATTATGGCATTTTTCAGATGAGAGTTAATGAGAAACATCACCCACCAGTTTCGATGAATAACAGGATTTCTTGAAAAATAGCAGTTGTCTTTTCTTCCTATCTGGTCTGCATTTATTTTTCAGTGACTACTGCCTAAAACATACTGACAGATAATTCATCTCATTTAACGTTTGTAGGACTTTGGTCTGTGCAAATTGTTTACCATGTTTACTGACATTAGTGACCTTTCTTAATTCACTTGTGGGACATGGGCGTTGTTGGCTGGCCAGCACTTACTACTCATCCATAATCGCTCTTGAGAAGGTAGCGGCGAGTTGCCTTCTTGAACCACTGCAGTCCACGTGCTGTAGGTTAACCACAATGCCCTTAGGGAGGGAAATCCAGGATTTTGACCCAGTGACGGTGAAGGATCGGTGATATATTTCCAAGTCAGGATGTGAGTGACTTGGAGGGGATCTCACAGGTGGTAGTGTTCTCAAATACTTTCTGTCCTTGTTCTTTCTAGAGGGAAGTGGTTGTGGGTTTGGATGGATTTTTGGTCGATTTCTGCAGTGCACATTGCTGCTACTGAATGTCAGTGGCGGGAGTGGATGCTTGTGGATGCAGTAGCAACCAAGCGGGCTGTTTTGTCCTGGATGGTGTCAAGCTTCTTGTGTGTTGTTGGAGCTATACCCATCCAGGCAAATGGGAAGTATTCCATCACACTCCTGACTTGTGCCTTGTAGATGGTGGACGGCTATGGTGAGTTACTCACCGCTGTGTTCCTACCCTCTCATCTTCTCTTGCAGCCACTCTGTTTATGTGGGGAGCCCAGTCGAGTTTCTGGTCAATAGTAACCCCCAGGATGTTGATAGTGGGGAATTCACTGATTTTTTAATAACATTGAATGTTGAGGGGCAGTGATTAGGTTGTCTGTTATTGGAGATGGTCATAGCCTGGCATTTGTGTGGCATGAATGTACTTGCCATTTGTCCAGATCGTGTGGCATTTGAACATGGACTGCTTCAGTATCTGAAGAGTTGTGCGATCATTGGCGAACACTCCCACTTCTGACCTTTTGAGAGAGGGAAGGTCATTGATGAAGCAGCTGAAAATGTTTTGCACCTAGGACACACCCCTGAAGAACTGCTGCAGAGATGTCATTGAGCTGAGATGACTGAGCTTCAACAAACACAGCCAACTTCCTATGAACCAGGTGGGGCTCCGACCAGCGGAGAGTTTGTCCCTTGATTCCATTTGATTCCAGTTTTACTGGCGGTCCTTGATGCCACATTCGGTCTAATGTGGCCTTGACATCAAGGGCTGTCACTCTCACCTTACCTCTGGAATTTAACTCTTTTGTCCATGTTTGAAGGCTGTAATGAAGTAAGGAGCTGAGTGGTCCTGGCAGAACCTAAACTGGACATCACTGCAGGTTATTGCTGAGCAGGTGCTGCTTGATAGCACTGTTGATGGCACCATCCATCATTTTACTAATGATTGAGAGTAGACTGATGGGGCAGTAATTAGTCGAGTTGAATTTGTTTTGCTTTTTGTGTACAGGACATACCTGGGTAATTTTCCACATTGTTGGGTAGATGCCAGTATTGTAACTGTACTGGAAGAACTTGTCGAGGACAGGGGCAAGTTCTGGGGCACAAGTCTTCAGCACTATTGGCGGGATGTTGTCAGAGTCCATAGCCTTTGCAGCATCTGGTATCTCCAACTGTTCCTTGATTATCATTTGGAGGGAATCAAATTGGCTGAAAATTAGTATCTGTGATATTGGGGATCACTGTGATATTGCAGCCCCAGTCTAGCAGCAGTGTTCTTGAGTACATGACCGACTTGATCCGTAGTGCTGCTGCTGAGCCAGTCTTAGTGGTGGATGTTGGAACCCCCACCCAGATATATTTTGTAGCCTTGCCACCCTTAGTGCTTCCTCCAAATATTGTTTAACATTGAGGAGTAGAGGCTCATCAACCGAGGGAGGACGTTGTGTGATAATCAGCAGAAGGTTTCCTTGCCCATGTTTAACTTGGACCCGATGAAAATCATGGCTTCAGAGTCATGTTGAGGACTTGTTGGGCAACTTCCTGCTGACTATATACTACTGTGTCTGCACCTCTGGAGGTCTGCCCAGCTGGTGGGACAGAACGTATCCAGGGAT